CGTCTTTGGTAGACAATGACAGGAGGACGAGCTTGGTCTTCTGCAAAACTGTTAGGAAACAATGGCAAGACAGATTTGGATGTAGAAGATTGAGTGTCTTGGTTAGTAGCAAAAAAATATGTATCTTCTTGAAAAATGACATTTCTAGAAACCCGAATCCTATGTAAGTGAGGATCATAGCATAAAAAACCTTTTTGATGGGCTGAGTAACCAAGAAAAGCACATTTAACAGATTGAGCTGTGAGTTTGGTGCGTTCTGGTGGCTGAAGATGAACATAACAGACACAATCAAAGGTGCGAAGAGTTGAATAATTGGGTTGCTTACCAAATAACCTTAAGAAAGGGGAATCATTGTGCAAGACTGGAGAAGGCAGCCGATTAATAAGGTGGACAGCAGTTGAGAGAGCTTCACACCAAAAACGAGAGGGTACTAAAGAGTCCAACATTAAGGTACGGACAACATCAAGAAGATGACGGTTTTTTCTTTCAGCTATCCCATTTTGTTGGGGTGTGGAAGGACACGACCTTTGAGATAATATACCATTTTTCTGCAAGAACTCTTGAAACAAATGAGATGTGTATTCCCCCCCATTGTCAGAACGCAGAGTTTTAATTTTTGATGCAAACTGAGTTTGAACATAGGAATGAAAAAATTGGAATGCAGAGAAAGCTTCAGCTTTAGATCGCAAAAAATAGACCCATGTGAAACGACTATAGTCATCAATAAAAGTGATAAAATATTTGTAATGTGCATGAGATATTACAGGTGTGATGCCCCATAAATCACTGTGAATTATGTCAAAAGGCTGATTTACATTTGATTGATGAACTGGAAATGGTAGAATTTTACTTTTACCAAGTTTACAAGAATTGCAATCAAATTGAACAGCACTAAAAGATGGGAAATGTTTATTGCCAAGAACTCCAGATTTCATTAAGGCATAAAGTACATTCGAATTTGGGTGACCAAGACGCTTATGCCATAATTGAAAATTAACAGTTGCAGAATTACAAGAAATAAAAGGCTGAAAAGAACATGGTGACAACAATGAATAAAGAGGAAAAAGACGTCCAACTTTAGGCCCCTTCGCGATCACCTTCCCTGAGTGTTGATCCTGCACATGACAACCAAACTTTGAGAATTCAAATTTGCAATCACTGTCAACTAATTGACCAACTGAAATAAGGTTACTGGTGAGATCAGGGGAAACATAAACATTGGTAAGAGATGAAGAAATATCACCAATTGCTGTGATAGGTAAATTGTTTCCATCCGGAGTGTGTATTTGTAAATTACCAGAGTAATTTGTAACATTGGTAAGAGAAGAAACATTGTTGGTCATATGATTGGATGCGCCAGAGTCAAAGTACCAAGGAGAGCTGGATAAAGAAACTTTACCTGAAAGACCCAAAGCAGAAAATGCAGAAACAATCATTTGTTGAACCATTTCAGGGGTTAAAGTTGGCACAAAAACAGACGGATTCTGATCCACAGAAACAGGAGTAGTAGAAGAGCCAACAGTGGCAGTGAAGGCTGTTGCATTTCTCTGTGGTTGTCTGATTTGACATTCTTTGATGATGTGACCTTTTTTTGCAGTAATTACAGAACTTTTTAGGACAGTTTGAAGCAAAATGTCCATGGCCTTTGCAGCATAAACATTGGACAATACTCATGTCTCGACCTCGTGGTTTGGCTTGTACTGCATACGCTACAGGAAGGGAGGCAGATTTCTGGTGTTCCATGTTTGTCTGAGTAAGGAGACGTTGTTCTTCACGAAGCAATTCATTTAGACATTCATCCAAGGAGGGAACAGGAGCCCTGTTCATTAGGTTGGTGCGAATGCCCTCAAAAGTAGATCTCAATTTCATAAGAAATTGATCTCGTTTTGTGGTGTCATGAACATTTTGGACTGCAGTTTGTCCTTCAGTCGACAAATCTTTATAGACAATGTCAGTATATTCAGCCCAAAGATTCATGAAATGAGAATAGAATTCAGAAATTGAGAGACTATCCTGTTGAAAAAGAGAAATTTCATGTTCAAGCTGGAACCTGCGAGCAGTGTTTGTTTGGTTATAAATTTTCTTCAAATAGTCCCACATCTTTGCTGTCGTTGTGAAGGGTCTGAGATTGAGGACAATACTAGGCTCAACAGAGCCTATGATCCAAGTCATTACCTGTGCATCTTTGGCCTCCCATTGGGCATGTGCCGCTTGGTGCGTAGTTTTGTCAGGAGCAGAATTAGTTCCGTCAACATGACCCCAAAGCTCCTTGCCTTTGACGAAGATCTGGAACTGAAATGCCCAGGTGGAGTAGTTCTTTCCATTAAGACGAACAAAAAGAACATCATATTTTTCAGTAGACATGATGCTGAGAAAAATCGCGAGAGGAAAAAAAAACAAGAATCGTGACGTGAACAGTACGCGCAAAAGACTAGAACTTGGGAACTCAGAGACTGTGAGCACAGGGAAAAATTTAGTAACGAAACCTAGACTGATACCATGTTAAACTTAGAGAAATTGGGATAAAACCTTCTGTTCTCCTTTGGAGAATTCTCATTTAAATAGTATGATATAATTACACAATCATAACTATACAATCATAACCTACAGCTAGCTAATTAATTAAGGATATAATTACACAATCATAACCTACAGCTGGCTAATTAATTAAGGATATAATTACAAATTATAACCTACAGCTAGCTAATTAATTAAGGATATAATTACAAATCTGCACAAATAATGCCAAATATTCTACTCATCAATTCTATTGACAACAAGAGCCCTTAGCCCTTCGATCCAGCATCTCATGGTACGGTAAGTTTCTGATCCCCTTGTAATTGGGCCCATTTCTCCTCTCACCTGGTTTGTTGGGCCTATCCTCAGATCTCATAGGTTGGGCCTGACTCCCAACAGTTGGCGATTTGTTTGGGTAACGCTCACCTTCGGCGACAGACACCACTCCGCGACGGAATTGGTTCTGGTCACGCGATGGTGGCTTCCACTTCCCTCCCAATATCTTGCGCTCCACCATCCTTGCTATGGAGATCATCTTCTAGCGGTTTTGCGGTTCCAGGGAGAGCACTTCGAGCTTGATCTCTTCTGAGACCACCGACAAATAAACCCATGTATTGTTCGTCCGGCATGGGAGAAATCTGAGCTGATAACATTTCAAAGGCTTCGACATATTCATCCATTGTTCCTCCTTGTAGCAGTTCTTTCAATTGAGCAAACGGGTTGCCAAAGTGACCTTCTCCATATCGATCAAACAGGGCGTGCTTGAACCGTTCCCAGTCTAGTTGTGCGTCCGATTCCTTGAGCACCTTAAACCAATGCCAGGTGGAACCCTCCATACAAATTTGGGAGTATTGCATGCGCATGGTAGGTGGTGTCCCTTAGACGGCGAAATAAGCTTCGGCTCTGGCAACCCAGCCTACCGGATCTGTTCCGGCGAAAACTGGAAGTTCTATTCTCTTCGCCTTAATTCGATACTCATCACACTGAGTCTCATTATGAGTTACCTTAGTGACTACCTCACTGTCACCATTTTTTTCTACTCCTTTTCATTTAGATGTCTCACTGCTTTCTGCCACAGTGATTACCGGAACCTCCGTGGATGATTGACGATGCTGAAACCCGTCTTTTACTTCCGCGTGTAAAGCTTGTAAGCTTTTTGCAATTTCTGCAACGCTAGTAACCAAGGCACCGAGCTTAACGGAATGGTCCGAAAGCTGACTGGAATGGCCCTTAGATGTTATATCTTGTGATCGGAGGTGTAAAGAACCAATTCAACCCAAAAGCTTAAACTGGTGGGTAAGGGTTTTTTAATGGTTTTATATATCTCAACACGCCCCCTCACACGAGAGCCCACTGGGCTTGAAGAGTGGACAATGCATAGACCCACCTACCTGTGCGAAGAAAGAAATTTCACTAGAAAGAAAGTGGGGGACAGTGAGGATCGAACCCGGGACACAATACTCTGATACCATGTAAAGAACCAATTCAACCCAAAAGCTTAAGCTGGTGGATGAGGGCTTTTTAATGGTTTTATATATCTCAACAGGAGGATTGCCTCTTGTGAGCGAAGTGAGTTTTCTACTGCTGTCATTCTTGTTTCAAGTGTATCTACCCTCTGAGACGTCATTCTTGTGAGCATAAACTACTCAAACGTCAATACTCCCTCAACACACTCTCAATCAACTCTCAACAAGAGCACCAATTTGATAGGAATTTATCCCCTCCTATCCGCAAAAGAGGGAGACAATTTGTATATTAATGGAAATATAAACGATTACAGAACTGGTGCAATAGAAAATGATAAAGAGCCAAAGCTCCCAGCTATGGAGACCCCTCCATTAGCCCTTCTAACCAGTAGAAACTGAACAGAATAATGCCTACCTCTTACTCACGCTCTTCACTCCATATAAACGTCTAAAAATAATAACAACCCATAACAAACTATCCCACTCACTCTCTCACCATAACTGCCATTACAATGCTGATAAAAACAACTCATTACACGTCACACAATCTCTCTTTCCTTATTCCTATTCTTCCTTTGATAAACCAATATTGGATCAGCTCTTCTCTGCTTGGGCTGCTCATTTCCTCCTTCGTTTGGGCCTGCTGTTGATGGGCTGCTACTGCTATCACCTACCCTCGTAAGTTGGGGAGCCTCGTGGATTGAGATTTGTTATTTTTTTATTTATTACGCCAATGTGGTTCAGCTGGATGGAATTACCTTTTTTGTTTTTTTTTTTCAAGAGAAGGAGGGGTCGGGTTTCTGATCATTCAACAAGATGGCAGAGAATTCTGTTGTTTTCAATGTTGATCTATCACTCTTGTGCCTAGTGATTGCAATGTGGCAGTAGTTAGAAATTAACATTTTTCAAACTGAGAATTTTTTAGGCCTTTGATCCAGTGTCAGCCCCTTCAAGAGAAAAAGGGCTCCAGTTTCTCCGTTTTTCCTACCGGTATTTATGTTGTTTGTTCCCTTACAGTTTGGAGGAGAGGCAACGTGCTGAAAAGAAAACTAGAGAGGCCAAAGGGCATAAATTCACACCAAGATGGTTTGATTTAACCGAAGAAGTGACATCGACTCCTTGGGGTGATTTGGAGATCTACCAATACAATGATAAATTCACTGAACATCGGGCTGCTGTTGACAACTCGGACAACATTGATGATGTTGATATTAAATCAACTGAATTCAATCCATGGCAGTATGGTAACTTGTCCACAGAATGAGTAGTTTCAATTTTTTGTTTTTGGACGTGCAGTTAGTTCATGCAACCTTTTTTTTAGTTGATACGTAGAAGAAATTTGTTTGCTGGTTGTTGGCTTGTGGAGATTGTATCTGCAGCTCATTATTATGCCTTATTGATCATTTTTTTGGGGGTATAATTGATCTTAGTATTTCAAATGTGATATATATGTTTTGCATGGGTGGTTGTATATATCAGTTGTTGTTGAACAAGTGAAACATTTTAGCACGTTTTATTTAATCAGAAAATTTTGTCAAGAGTAACATGCAAAAAATGTTGTAGGATTCTAAATATTTTACGTGTAATACATTTGCCCTACCATTCCTTCCATGGTTAGTTTCAAGAGTGCTATATGCACACGCCTCTGGAAAGAATACATTAATGTTATAGAAAGCATATCCCAATCGAAGATCATGCTTGCCGTGTACTGTATGAAACCTTGGTATGCATTATAAACATACGCAAGAACCAGTTCGTTATTATCTCTAACTTAGTTTGCTATTTTACGTGGAAAAAGAAAAAGTTGAGAATGGGAGATAGATGTTTTGTTATTTCAATTCAACCCCTATTATCGAATGACCACAACTTAAAACGAGGGAAGCAAAATGAGAGTCATCCTGTAACTTTTCAAAACCCTTCGTTATTAATTTTTGGGTTTAGTACGTGTTATTTAAAAGAATACAAGTTGTATTATTTTAGTGATTTACACAAAGTATGACATATTTTATGTAAATCTGAAAAGTTGCTTTTTTTTCACTTTACATGTCAGAGATGTGATTGGGAAGAGAGAAAAAAAAAAAATTCAGATTTACACAAAATATGACCGGTCATACTTTGTGTAAATCACCTAAAAGGACACAAGCTTGTAATGATACTTCTTTTTCCCTTAATTTTTATAAGCATTTTGAAGTTTCTTTAATTCAAAAGAGTTTGTGAACATCTAAACAAAAGGGGGGACTTACTAATTTTTCCTTCTCTTCCCACCACCGCTTCTTCATTTTCTGTTTCTAAATCACAAACATATCCTAGAAGTGTTGAATTTGGCAACTTGATTGCTTTTCATTTCTTTTTAATGGCTGTCAGAGTATCAATTAAGTGTTGAATTTGGCAACTTGATTGCTTTTCATTTCTTTTTAATGGCTGTCAGAGTATCAATTAGCTGGTTACGTATTCTATTACTGCCGCAAGTGGTAGATTAATTTCATTGGTAACATGGACAGCCTTTAAGAATGAGTAGTCATGTTAATGGGAAACATATCATTTGCCCTGGTCTTTATAGGCTCGTTTGGTTAACAAGATATGATATGATATGATATGATATGGGGCTGATAAGCCTATATCATGTCTTGTGTTTGATGAGCACCTGATTAGCAATCTGATAAAATTATGTAGAAGGAGAAAAGAGAAAGAAAAAACAAAATATAATGCAATAAATACAAATATATTGGGTAGCTTAGGGATATATTGGGTAGCGTGGGGATATATTGGGTATCCAATATTGGTATCCTATCCTATTGAATCCTAACTCAGCTCATCTAATAGGATAAGAAATCATGTATTGGATAGGATAAAATGAGACAATAGGATAAGCTAATCATATCCTATTGATCCACCAAACAAGAGATAAAAATAGGATATGATAAGTTATCCTATCATATCTTCTTTATCAGGTGCTCCAAACAGGCCCTAAATACTTTATGTTAGAGAGAGCCAGTCACCTTTACTTTTCATATGTTTATTTAAGGCATATACCAACCAGTCATATGCACATTTCTCTATCACATTGATGAATGATGATGGATCCACGTAATCAAAATAGGGGTTTACATTTGTCATTTAACATGACACAACAAACTTTCCTATACACACAACATTTTGTGAGGCCCACACTTTTTGAAAAAAAAAAAATTATGGCACGCAAATAAAAAATCTATAAGACATTACACAATCATTTTTCCTACAACATAACTCTTATAAAACCCATCAAAATATTAAAGAAAAGAATCCAAATCGGATGGCTATAAATAAATAAATAAATAAAACTCCACGCAGTTTCCAGGTAAGTCAAGTGCCTTTTCTTGTTCTTCTTCTTCTAATCCTTTCATTTTTTCAAGCACCCAACTAATGTTGTTAAAATCGAGATTTTAAGTAAAATCGGAAGGGGACTAAAAAATCGTAAAACGTAAAATCGTAATGCAAAAAAATCGTAAAAAATCATAAAAACGTTTGGAATATTGGTAATATCGTTTTGATGAAAAAAAATCGTAAAATCGTAGTGATAAATCGAGATTTTAACAACTATGCACCCAACCGCTACCGTATATACACAATCACGTAGGGTGAAGAATCTTTACCTTCATCAATCATTGAATATTGTCTTAGCAAAATATATATATATATATATATATATAGATAAAGTCATTTCTGCAGCCGCTTTACGTACAACAACGACAGATGTATGGTTATGATTTCTCACATTTAATGCTTTCATCTTTTGTATGGTTATGATTCTCTGTATTTAATGCTTTCACATATATATATACACATATATATTATAGGGTCAGGATCATTTTACACCAGTGTAAGTTACACTCTCAATCTTGTCCGTTGATCCCACTTATATCTAAGGGCTCAAATTTTTTAGTAACGTGACCCATTGGATACAAGTGGATCAATAGTCAAGATTGAGTGTAAGACTTGTAACTCTTATACCGGTGTAAGAATATCCTGCGCCATATATATATATTCATATGTATGGTGAAATTATTTCTACAACCGCTTTACGTATAACAGTGACAGGTGTATAGTTATGATTCCCCACATTTAATGCTTTCATCCTTTGTATGGTTATGATTCCCTGCATTTAATGTTTCCAAGTATATATATGGCAAGTATTTGATTGCTCCACGTACAGTAGCTACAGAAATGTAAATCCTTATATATATATATATATATATATATATATATATGTATATATATATATATAGGGTTAGGATTATTTTACACCAATGTAGGTTACACTCTTAATCTTGTCCGCTGATCCACTTATATCTAATGATTCAAATTTTTTAGTAATGTGAGCCATTGGATACAAGTGGATCAATGATCAAGATTTAATGTAAGACTTCTAACTCTTACACCGATGTAAGAATATCCTGCCCCATATATATATACATATGTATGGTGAAATTATTTCTACAACCGCTTTACGTATAACAGTGACAGGTGTATAGTTATGATTCCCAACATTTAATGCTTTTCTCTTTTGTATGGTTGTAAACTTATAATTCCCCACATTTAATGCTTTCACGTATAACACAATCTAAAAATGCTTATATATATATGGCAAAGAAGAATAAATATATATATATATATATATATATATATATATATATATATATATGGCAAGTATTTGATTGTTGTACGTACAACAGCTGCAGAAATGTGAACCCCATATATATATAGAGGAAAGTACTTCTTATGTGACTGCAGAAGAGAAAAAGTGCAGCAACACAGGATACGCGTCCGAATCCTGTTTTTTTTTTTTAATAGAATCCGCACGTGTATCCTAGGATCCGCACGTGTATCCTAGTGTTAAAAATTTGCTGCAACTTTTCTCATCAGCAGTCACATGAGAAGCGACGGACCCATATATATATATGGGGCAGGATCCTTTGATACCGATGTCAAACTTTAAAATTTGACACCAAATCCTAACTGTTGATTTCTGTCAATCAACGATTATCATTTATTGGGAATTACACTTATTAATTACGGAAATCAACGGTTAAGTCTTACACCAAATCTTAATCATTGATTTTCGTGCATCTAACGGTTAAGATTTATTGGGTCACACTCATTAATTAATTGTTAAATTTCAACCGTTAGATACATGAAAATCAATGATTAAAATTTGGTGTAAGACTTATTATTTTTACACCGGTGTAAGCTGATTTTATCTTTTATATATATTTATATATATATTTATATTTATTCTTCCCTCCCACATGAACTATTAAGAGCGTAAATTTGTTAGCTAAATGAATTTATTAATATCTCTGATTTAAACGGGTTTTTTTTTTCCCTCATGAAATTGTAGGGTTGGTAAACTTGGTCGTACGGAACAGAACTTGCTAACTCCCCTCCTTGAGGGCTTGTAGGGATTGTTGGAACTGAGACCTGAAGGTTGGCGTTTACGTCAAGTAAACTCTATTCAAGTTACGTGACCTTCAATCTCCCTCCAACTTCATTCACACTTTATGCCTTCCAATTCTGAATTCCATTTGCGCCTTCATATATTACTGTGATATAACTATATTTTCACCCTATGTTTCTTGTTTGGATGGAGAACAAGAAAATAGAGAGGAAAGAAAACTTTTAAATTTGAAATTTCTCTTGTTTGGTTTAAGAAAAAAAATTAAGAGAAGAAGTTTGAAGGAAAAAAAGAAAAAAACTAAAGAAATCAAATTTTCTCTTCAACTCAGATTTAAATTTTTTTTCTCCTCCCTCATTTTTTTTCATCCAAATAAAAGGTTGTTATTATTTTGTAAACATAGATAATTAAAGCTAAATTTTATAAAAATTTAGAACAGCCTTGGATCATGTGTGTTGTATGCAGCTGCTCTGTAAGTATATATACGTTGGTTTCTTTTCTTTTTTTTCATCTGATTTTACTCGAGCTTAATTTCAAGTCACGTATCACAATTTATATGATGGCGGTGCTTGCACTCACACCAGTGTGTATTTAACTATATTGTTGTCCTTTTAAAATATGATCATTTTAATTAAAATTAATATTTTTGTTTATCGAAAAAATTAGTTATTTTTTAAGGGAAGGTTATAGTTATTACATCTTTTTTTTACTACTTCTTACTACTGAATATTAATCGTTGATTTTCGTTAATCAAACAGTTATAATTTATTAGGTCATGTTTATTAATTAATTATTAATTTCCAATAAATTATAATCGTTAGATTGACGAAAATCAACGGTTAAGATTTAGTAGTAAGAAAAATAGGTAGTAAGTATAACCTCTGCGTTACTACCTATTTTTCTTACTACTTGTTACTACCAAATCTTAACCGTTGATTTTCGTCAATCTAGCGGTTGTAATTTATGAGGTCATATTTATTAATTAATAATTAATTTACAATAAATTATAACCGTTAGATTGGCAAAAATCAATGGTTAAGATTTGATACTAAGAGGTAAGAGATAGTAAGAAAAATAGGTTACTACTTGTTAGAATATTTTCTATTTTGTACAACAACATTTATTTATTTTTACAAAATTAAATTGGCATTGTTATTCATTCATTTTTTACAACTTACTCTATTAGTGGAGAAAAAAATTAATTTATTGTAATTTAAATAAATAATTATAAATATATAGTTGTTTCGAAACTATGTATGAATTTATTGCAGTTATTCACACCTAATTCAGGCGTGACTCATTCGGTGATGATACGTGGCATACAAAAATTAACAGTTTAACCATAAAACTTCAGAAGACAATAATTTTGGCATCAGGTACCCAAATCAGGTGTTTTTTTTTATTTCACGTAAAATTTTGAGATCTACGCAATGACACCTCATTTGGCATAATTTATCTCTCACAAACTCAAAAGCTTTCGAGTTCTTTCCGAACCAACACTATAAGATGCAGCATTGATAAGAGAAAACCACTGTCATGATTAGAAACATTCCTAGCAAACATCTCTATAATTATGGTACATTGTTGCAAATTCAAACTATATTTATGAGAGACGAAACTCCAACTTAAATAACATCTTTCACACTCACAAATATAAAATATACCAAATGCTCTCATCTCGAAAAAAAAAATGATTCGGGCAATTGAGACCAAAGTTATAGTCTTTCGAAGTTTTATGATAAAATATCTCAAATTTCGGAAGTTTTTTACCAAAATTCCCTTCAATAATATCTCATTGCATAGATTTTGAAAAGTTATGTGAAATAAATAAAAAATCTAATTTGGATACTCGAGTCAAAAATTATGATCTTCCAAAATTTTACATTCAAACTATTGACTTTTTATGCCATGTGTCAGCATCAGAAGTGAGGGTCATGCCTAAAAGAGGCGTAAATGATCACGTCTTTTCTAAAAGTGAATGCCTCATGGACCACATCTAAATTAGACGTGAATGGTCTTACCCAATTTAGACGTGAGTAAGTAGAATAATTTCGAAATAGCTATATGTTATATTCATAATTATTTATTTAAATTACAATAAAATAATTTTTTTACCGTCGTTAGTTTTCATTTCAGTAAAAGTTCGAACTGGACAGGAACAGGGTATAGCAGCCCCCAAAACCCTAACCGGTAATTATTGGTACTGGGAAGTGGGAAACTAAAACACAGTGTGTGTTGTGTTGTGTTGTGTTGTGTTGCAGGAACTGAAACTGAAGCGTCTTTGCATTAATAATCTGATTCTGAGCTTCGGATATCTTCCCATTTTTACAATTTCGCTATTGCTCTGAGTTCAGGCGGAGCGACACCGTTCAACACTCCTCTTCTCAGCACAGGTTAGCTTTTCCCTTTTCTTCATTTTCTTCTTCCCTCTGTATCTCTCGTTGTGATTTTCTTCTCTGCACTCTTTCTCCCCCTTCCCCTTTTCTCAAGTGATGAATGCAACAACAAATTTTCATTTTTTTATTCAAATTTTATTTTCTGTTTTCTGTTTTCTGTTTCATTCTTAATGACCTTTCTTCCTTTATAGATTTGTTTCTGAATCAGTCATTTGTGTTGGGATTTGATCTCTCTTTTCGTTTAAGCACTTCATTTTATGTGTAGTTAGCATTTTTATTTTATTTTTTTTTAATTTTAGGATTTTGTAGGAATGAATATCATTGAATCAAGATGGCCCATGTTTTCTATGAGTGGAAATGGTTGATTTTTGGGGGTTGCAGCTGTTAATGGTCTTTAGTCGTTTAAAGGAAGGGTTTTTCAGTAACCATTCGGTGTTGGGGTTGAGCTAGTAAATAACGAGTCCCATGTTTTGCGAATTATTTTCCAAATTAGAATTGCGACGTGGATATGGCACATTATAGGCATGTTTGTTATTTACACCTTCGTAAGAATTTTCATCCTTCTTGGTGTATGGAATTTACTTTGTTATTTCATTTGTCTTATGACTTCACATTGTATTTTTATGGACCACTTGATGATGCTATAACAAATTGTTTTAAAAAATATGGGACGGTTCGGTTGAATGAGTATGGTGTTGGTTCATTTATCTCGTCATGCCAGATTCTGATTTGTATTAAGTTCTAATTTTCTATAGCTTGAAGTTTTGACTTCGGATTCATGCTTGCTGCATTGAAATTAGTTTATCTTTTAAACGTGTGTTGTATATGTTTTGGGCTCATTATACAGAAAGCATGACTACATAAATGGTAGAAAATATTAAAAAACCAGTTATAGTACTAGTGCATGTTAGAGGTGCGAAAGTTTTTGGTAGTAGTCAGTAATATCAAACTATCATGAGGTCTATAGCATTGGGGTATATGTCAAACAATAATGAGTGAGAAATTAATGTCTATTGAGCCTTTAATCCTACATGTAAAGCATATTTCAAATTCAAACTACAGAAGAAACTAGTATATGTTATATCCATCAATATCATCACATCAGGTACCTCAATTTTATTTAAGCTTTGCCCTTTGCCTCTGGGTACGAGATAAGCCATAGTGGCTTAACTGTTTTATTGTTATAAGGCAAAGCTGAGCTGACCAGTTCATAGGTCAAGGTTTCTCAGCTTGCTAAGACTGAGACATTAGTCCTAGCCATTCTTACTTTGTATGGTTTTATGATATTGTCTGAGGATAAGACAATAAGTTACAAAACACGATTCCACAGCCTATAATGGAGGTCGTATCTTTGTCACTTTTGGTTGGCCTCATTCCTGCAACTTGGTAAGAAACAATATCATTCAATACTTGCTGTGCCACTTTATTATGCAGCGTGACATCAACTCGCAGATTGGAAATTCTGTAATTCTTTTGGTTTTAGAGGTAGTCAGTTCTCTGTTTTGATTATTGGCTACTACCACTATTCATTTTCTCATGGAAAGGTCAATGAGAGTATTTGAGCCTATGATTCAAATAGATTTCCCATCCTTATGCATTTTGCATATTTGCTAGGGAATATTAGTTACTAAGCTTACAAAGAAACTACCCCAATACTTTATTGCAAAATTTTGTGTTTATACTTTCTTTTGCTAGAATTATAGTGTTTTTACTGATTTACTTTATATTTTGTTCAACTTCCGATTGTGGACAGTACTTGCAGGTTTTATATATATATATACAGCATCTAGCAGGTTGTTAAAAATATGGCCAAGCATCATCCTGATTTGATTATGTGCCGGAAGCAGCCAGGAATTGCCATTGGACGACTTTGTGAGAAATGTGATGGCAAATGCGTGATATGTGACTCTTATGTGCGTCCTTGTACACTTGTCCGGGTTTGCGATGAATGCAACTATGGATCGTTTCAGGGTCGATGTGTCATATGTGGAGGAGTAGGAATATCAGATGCTTACTACTGCAAGGAATGCACACAGCAGGAGAAAGATAGGGATGGTTGCCCCAAAATAGTTAATTTAGGGAGTGCCAAAACTGACCTGTTCTATGAACGCAAGAAGTATGGTTTTAAGAAACGATGATGAGGGTGAATTACTGAAATATTTGTATTTCTCTAAAACATTTTCGCTTCATGTGTTTTCCTGAGATATCAGAACCATAGGATTTCAGACCTTATGCAGGTAAACTTTTATCCGATGCAATTGTTGATGATACAAGTATATGACTAGTTGAATACTGATCATAGGATTAGCCAGTGTGGAAATATCAACTTGAACTACGATGAGACCATTGTTGTTTGTTTATTTAGACACTACTTATTAAGCTACCCCCTTCTCATTTTTATTTTATTTTTTTAATTTCCTGTTATCTTTAGATTGAGGTTAACTGTGTTTTGTACTCGTATTTATTACATTTATTGCTTGCTTTGGATTATTAGAATAAATGGCCTGATGAAATGTTAATATTAAAAGCAGACATTCAAATACAGAGGTAGGATATGCTTTTAATTGCTATTTGTTGAAGCTGAGGTGATGATAGGGGAGATAATTTCGTTGTCTACAGCTTGAATGCTTTACATGATTTTTCTAAAGGTTAAAATGAATCCCAATTCATGATTTCTCAGTTTAGGGTCTGTTTATTTTTAGATTTTTTTTAGGAATTGATTGTAAAAGAATTAATTTTTTTTTTAAAACAGTTAATTTCTTAGAGGCACTTCTTTCAGCAATTCTTTTCTGCCGCAGAATTAGTAACTCCTCCTTTCTCTTTCTACTTTCTTCTTCCTATTGATGAAAGTGGACAATAAAGGTGAACAGATAAAAAATTAGTAAAAGAATGGGGGTACTCCAATAACCTGTGAAATTGCAACAAAGAGATATAGAATATATTAAGAAAAGTAAAAGTTCCATATGAATTTGGCGCAACTGAAAGTGTTGCTTCTTCGGAGCCATATAATCAAAGAACTTTCCATTAGTATTTTGCACAACTGATAGTGTTGTTTTTTCTGAGCCATATAACCAAAGAATTGCCAAAACACATGAAAAGATTAGCAGGAAACTACTACCTTAGGAAAATAGACAGACAGCAGTTTCAATTCAATCATATCTCAAAACCATTAAAAACTCACAGAACTGTTAGAATTAGTAAAATCACTTGCAGTTTGATTTATCAATATGTAGGGCATAAGTGAACTAACTTAAGGTGATAAATTCCAGAAAAATTTAGACTTAACACATTCTATCATACCTTAAAACCAAACTACCAAATTCAAGGATCATGTAGGGATAGATAATGTTTATGATATAATTAAATTTGAGCACCTCAATCTTATGCCCTAGATGCAACTTACATGTGGAAAAGTACTTGCACATCTTTAGGGACTGTTCTTGGACCAGAGAGATTTGGTGTCAGTTTGTCCACGACAGAGATCGTTTAGATTTCATTCAGGGGAATTTTATGGAATGGTTTTCAGCCAATATTAAAAAAATAATTTTTGGAGCCTATCATTTTGTGTTGAATTGTGTAATTTAAATTTCAAGTTACTATTATGAGTTGTTAGGCTGTTACAATTTATTAAGTTACTGATATGAGTTGTTAGGCTGTTACAATTTATTTGAATAGGAGATTTGATTAGATCAGATTTGTTGTATAGAATTAAGATGAGATCAGTTTGTTATTATTTGAAAGTTGTTGAACCACTTTTGTATATATAACAACCTCACATTGAGCCCTTCTCTTATGACCCGGTTTCTGCGTTTGGAGACTGCATCCGAAATTTGGGAGGCATGCAAACGAACGTATTATGACGCATCCGACGAGACATGCCTTTTCGAGTTAAATCAGAGATCTTTCTCCACCAAACAGCATGGACGTCCCTTAGCTACGTATTACAATGAGCTCCTTGCAATTTTTCAGGAGATCGATCATCACACGGAATCTCAGGCCTCTACAGTTGACGGGGTTGTTCATCTCCACTCTGCCATGACCCGTCTAAGGGTCCACATATTTCTCAGTGGATTGGACTCGGAGTTTGACCATCTTCGCGGTGAGATCCTCCGAAAGGAGCCCAAACTCGATCTTGAGGGCTCTTATGCGTTTGTTCGTCGCGAAATCACCCAACGGCAGACCATGCAAGCCTCTCGTCCTTCATCAGACAACGCAACATTGCTCACTCTTCCTTCTTCTGGATCTTCGAAACCGCGTAAGCCTCCACAGTCTGCAAAATCCCCTCAGTATTCTTGTACACATTGTGGGGCGACTGGTCACTCCAAACGAAGGTGTTTTGAAATAATTGGATACCCGGAATGGTGAGATTTCAACAAACAGCCTTGCTGCAAGATTCCTGTTGCTGCAATTGCTTCGGTCAAATCTAATATCACTGCCCTTCAACTGCCTTGGTTGCTCATCAGGGTAATTTTGGTAAGCCTTATGCATTCTCTACATTGTCCAGAAATCATACATGGGCAATTGATAGAGGTGCATTGGATCATATGATTAGAGATTCGTCTGAGTTACATAATTGTGGACCATGTACTCAAACCTTTATCTCCACAGCAAATGGTGATACCTCTCCGATTACTGGCCAGGGTTCTCTTTCTTTATCTCCTAAAATTTTCTTGGATTCAGTTTTGGTAGTTCCTTCTCTAGAATTTAATCTCTTCTCTGTTTCACGAATTACCACTTCTTTGAACTGTTGTGTTTCTTTTTGGCCTGACTTCTGCATTTTTCAGGACATCTCAACACAGAAGGAGATTGGTTATGGAGTTAGACGTGGGAAGTTGTACTTCTTGGATCTACATCAGAGTTTGTCTTCTCTTTCGGTTCAGTCTCTCCATACTACTATTGATAATAAAGCCTCTGCATCTGTTTGGTTATGGCATCATAGATTAGGGCATCCTTCCTTTATCTATTTAGAAAAATTATTTCCTATGTTATTTTCCTTTGTGAATAAGAATGATTTTAAATGTACCACTTGTGAATTGGCCAAGAGCCATCGAGTTTCTTATTCACCCAGTATCAATAAAAGTCATATTCCATTTCAAGTTATTCATTCAGACGTTTGGGGACCCTCAAGGGAACCCTTCCTATCTCAAGCACTTTACTTTGTGACTTTTATTGACGAATGTACTAGGATGACTTGGGTGAGTTTATTAAAAACAAAAATGAGGTCTTTCTTGCCTTTAAACGTTTTCACTCTCAAATCCAAACTCAATATCAGTCTCGAATTCAGATTTTACAAACGGATAATGGCACTGAATACACAAACCATATTTTTAAATCCTTTTTGACTGATAATGGTATTAAACATCAAACATCCTGCACCTATACACCACAACAGAATGGATTGGCTGAGAGGAAAAATAGGCACTTGTTAGAGGTTGTTAGAGCTTCTCTATTGGGCATGAATGTTCCCAAACGTTTTTGGGGAGAGGCAGTACTTTCAGCTGCCTATTTGACTAATAGAACCCCCTCCAGTGTTCTGAATTTTCAAACTCCTCAACAAAAAATTGAATCTCATTTTTCTATTCCCCATACTCCAAATCTGGAACCTCGAATATTTGGTTGTTGTGCCTATGTACATACTCCCAGAGTCCTGCAACATAAACTAGATCCGCGTGCTACTAAATGTATTTTCGTAGGTTACTCTGAATCTCAAAAAGGGCATCGTTGTTTTGATCCTGTCCTTCAGAAGCTACATATCACATTGGATATTTCCTTTCATGAACAGGAACCTTTCTTTTCAGGGGGAGCTCTCGGTTCTTTTCCTCGGGGGGAGAAATCTTCTGATCAATTTGGAGGAGAAGTACTTCTCAAAATTGTCCCTCATTCTATCTCTAATTCTTCTGATGATGGAGCTAATTCTCATACGGTTTCTGATAACATAGCCTCTGAAGACAGAACAATGGATGCACAAGCTGAAGACCCACAAATAACTCCAATAATTGAATCTTCTTCCAGAGATGATCCTGAACGACAGCAACCTGTTTCTAATACTGAGGTAATTTCTGAATCAAACACACCTCCTTCTTTGCACATGCAAAATGAAAACCCAAACAGGTATTCTCTAAGATTAACCAAAGGAATTCCTAGAAAACTATATGAACCAGATCTGCAGGCTAAAGCTAAGTACCCCATAAACAATTATGTATCAACTCATAGATTATCTAACTCATATGCTTTATCTGTAAATCAGTTATCTACTGTATGCATTCCTAACAATGTGCAGGAAGCGCTTGGAGACCAAAAGTGGAAAAATGCAATGAATGTGAAATGGAAGCTTTAGAAAAAAATTCAACTTGGGAGCTTGTTCATCTACCTGAAGGAAAAAGAACTATTGGATGCAAGTGGGTATATACCGTAAAACTGAGGGCCGATGGGAGCATAGACAAGTATAAGGCGCGACTAGTAGCTAAAGGATTCACCCAAAAATATGGTAGTGACTACCAAGACACCTTCGCACCTGTAGCCAAGTTGAATACTATCAGAATCCTCATTTCTCTTGCGGCAAATAGAGATTGGCCACTCAAACAGTTTGACGTCAAGAATGCATTTCTAAATGGGGATCTTAAGGAAGAAGTGTATATGGATATACCACCTGGAATCAGCATAGAACCCAATAATGAAACAAAGGTATGCAGACTGAAAAAGGCATTGTATGGCCTTAAACAATCTCCTAGAGCATGGTTTGGGAGATTTTCAACAGCCATGAAGATTTTTGGTTACAACCAAAGCAATGCTGACCACACTTTATTTATCAAGCGGAAAAAGGAAAGGATTACTGCTCTAATAGTATATGTAGATGACATGGTGCTCACCGGAGACGACTTAGAAGAAATGGAGAAATTAGAAACATACTTGAGCACTGAGTTTGAAATGAAAAGCTTAGGAGAACTCAAATACTTTCGGGGAATTGAAATTTCAAGATCAAAACAAGGAATATCCCTTTGTCAAAGAAAATACATTCTTGACCTGTTAACAGAGACAGGGATGCTGAATTGTAAACCAACAGGAACTCCTATGGAAATGAATCACATGCTAGACATTTATCCTGACCAAATAGCTACTGATATTGGAAGGTACCAAAGGTTAGTAGGGAGACTAATCTATCTATCTCACACTCGGCTAGACATTGCCTATGCGGTAAGTGTAGTAAGAAGATTTATGCATTCTCCTAGTGTTGATCATATGGATGCAGTGTTTCGGATCCTGAGGTATTTAAAGGGGACAGTTGGCAGAGGTTTGCTGTTTGCAAAAACCAACACAACCTCTATTGAAGGCTATTGTGACTCGGATTGGGCAGGGGATAAAACAACTAGGCAGTCAACCTCAGGATATTTTACATTTGTGGAAGGGA